ACGGCGTCTGCGCTGCGCGGCTGGCCGGCCTACGCCTAAGAGATTATATCAATACTTCTCTTTTAAATGCCATGAATAATTCGGACATCTCGGTCAAGCCGTTTGTTCTTTGGGTGCCTCGCGGCGTAGCTGCCGAAACGCCCACTGTATGCCAGCTCGAGGCTGATACGCAGAACGATGACGGGGCCGGCCAGCACAGTGGCGCCGAAAAGCGTACCGGCGCTAAGCTGCCGAGCGTGCCAGCACATCCGGATACTTCAGCGATAGAAGCAGAGTTTCACTTCGACTCCTACGACGACGACGCGAGCACAGACGCCGGACTTAAATTCTTCTCGACTAACGACAACGACGTCGAGATGGTCGACGCGGATGCAGACGCGCCCGAGCTCGCAGCTGAGTCAGAAGACGAACAAGACTTCAGCGTGCCCCGCTCCTGCAACCAGATAGTGATCGGCAACATCGAGAACGAAACTGAATACGAATTTGAGACCTACGTCTTCGATCCGCAGACGCAAGAACTTTGGTTGAACCACGCCACGCTGCTCGGCGAGGTTTGCACCGCCGGCGTGTTGCTGCCGGTCTTCGGCGCCGCCGAGCACAAGAACTTCGTCGCAGTCGGCGGCTTCAACCCCGCCATCGCGGTCTACGACAACGACAAGCTCGACGCTCTGAGCCCCGAAGCGGAGCTTCTCGACGCGCAGGCCAACCAGCAAGGAGTGACGGCGATGGACGTGCGCGGCGACAAACTGCTTGCGACCTCGATGGACGGCTTCGTCTCGGTGTGGGATCTGCGCAACGTACGACTCGTAGCCGCCAAGAAGCTGAGCGAAGCGACGCTAAGCTGCTGCTGCTGGACTGGCGAACAAGACAGCTTTCTGTACTCGGACGACGCGAACGGCGCGTACCTCAGCGACCCGAGCTTCGCCACTACGCAGAAGCTAGAGTACGCGTCAGAAAGCATCGACAGTCTTGCTTGGTGGGGGCAGACCGAGCAACTGTTCTTCGCTGGCACGAACTCCGGCACGCTCGCGCTCGGCTCGTTCGCCAAAGCCGCCTGGCTGTTTGAAGTAACGGTCGACGACTGTCCGGTGACCTCGCTGCTATTTTACAAAGATCGCGGCGTGCTCGTCGCCGTCACGCAAAACGGCACGGTCAGGCTATACGAGGTACAGGGCTCTTCGCTCGTCGAGCTGCTCACCAAAACCTTTCCGCAGCAGCCGCTCCTCCACGTCGCAGCCAACCCCGACGCTCCGGAACTCCTCGCCATCGCGGGCAGCGAGCTAATCGTGTGGGACTTGGCCAGCGAGTCAGCGCTGCGCAAGCACTTCAATCCGAGCTAAGTCGTTACTAGCGCACTTCACACAGATGAGGAGATTTCTCGCGCGCTCGACCAACGGCGACGCGAGGCCCGCTGCGGTTTCGCGCGCAGCTGTGCGTTTCGTCGCGAAACAGCTGCTGCAGCGCGCTACTGCAGGCCCGCGTCGTGCTCTTCGCAGCGAAAGTCTTCGGGCTGTTCCGCGAACTGTTGGAGCCAAGTTTTCTGATGCTGCGCGCGCTTGCTTTTGACCGCCGCTTTCCACGCGAGCGCTTCTTGTCCAACTTTTTCCGTAAACTCGCCGCAACGGGCGACGAATATATCCAGTTTCGGCAGGTTCCGCGTCACGGGGAAGGTGCGCAGCTCTTCGAGCAGCTCTGCGTTCTTCACCACCTTGCCGAGCACGGCGGTGTCGATGTGGTCGCACGCGTACGCGCCTGTCGTAATGAAAAACGCAGGACTGCCGGCGGCCCACTTTTCCAAAAACACGCCGACCACGCCGGCGTCCAGCAATTTGCGAGCGACGCGCGAAGCGGAGGGCGTTTCAGTTTCTTCGCCGTAGACGCCGCGCCCGTCGTTACTCACAAAGTCGCCGAGCTCCAGGTAGTTATTGCGCGAGATATTGAAAATTCTGCATCCGACGTAGAAGGGTGCGTAAGCTCCGGCGCCCGCCTGCGGCGTGGCGGTAGCGAAGGTTGCGAAGCGACGGCGCACGGGCTCGGACACGTCGTGAGCGAGCTGGATCACAATGTGTCCGAAGCGAAAGTTTGCGATATGCAGTTCGAAAAACACGCGATCCCCCGAAACTCGCTTGGACGGCATGAAAAGAGCAACAGAGAATGCGACTAAAGGCGGCGCTGCTGGCGTTCTGTGCGGCTGCAACGGCGTCTGCGTTAACTAGAGAAAGTTTCTCCGAAAGGAACGAGAGCTCGCCGCTGGCGTCGCTAGATGGGTTGAATCCTTACGGAAATGCCAATCAAATAAAAATACCGCCTCTGGTTTGGGCGCAGAAAAATGGCGTCGGCATCGCGATCCCGCTGAGCCACAAAAGGTTCAAAGAGCTGAAAGTCGAGCTCACTAAAAGAAAGGGAAGTGCGTCGGCGCCGGCGGATTTGCCATGCGCGTGGCTGTACGACTCCGCGAGCGAGTGCGTGCTGAACTTTGCGTCGAAGTTCTTCGCGTCGCACGGCGCGGCTCGGCGCAGACGCAAGGCGGGCGCGCCTCCGGCCGCGCTGCCAGCGCTGACGACTTTCGTCAGCTTTGCAGCGCAAGCGCTGCAGCAAACCGAGCTGAAGCGATTCGTCGCGTACCATGCCGTGCTGCAAGTGCCGGCGCTCGAAGCGTCGTACGCGGTGACCCTCGTGTGCCCGAAGATGCAAATGCACAACTGCCAGCCCTCCGTCTCACAGCGGAGGCTCGGCAGCGCGGCGGCGCTGGTGCGGCTGCTGTCCGTGCGCAACTACACCGGAGAATCTCTCACCGAGCCGATCGTGTACTCGAGTGCGCCGGTTGCGCTCGCGCTAGACCCGCCGCGGCCAGGTCTGATAAGCCGTGCAGAACGCTGCGAGCTCGCCGCAGACTCCGAGACTTGGCAGTTCGCGGTCAACGGCTGCTGCGACGCGGAGTTCGAGGGCTGTGCGCGACACAGCGCAGCCAACGGGCTACAGCTGTTCACGCTGCAGCTGCCAGCGCAGTGCAAGTCGCAGGCGTGCCGCGTCGCGTGTCAGGTGCGCGCCGTCGCTGCAGAGCCTAGCTGCGCTGCGCAGCCTGCGGCGCGGCACGGTCTGCGACAACTCGCGGAAAGCGCGCCCGGCGCGCAACTAGCAAGCATAGACGAGAAATTCCTGCGCTCGTACGCCAGCACGCCGCGGACGCAGTTCTTCGACGTGGCGCCGCTCGGGAGCCTCGAAACAGAGAAGTTCGACGAAGCACAACGGAAGCTGTTCAACAAGCAGGTGCGCTCGCGAGTCAGCAAGCTCGACAAAGCGGTAGCGAGCGGCGCGTTTGGCGACAGCTACAAAATGCTCGACGCGATCGACGAGTCGATCAACTTGCAGCTGTCGGAAGAAGCGGCGGAGTCCAGCGCGTTTTCAATTCCGAACGTGTACATAAACACGGTGCAGCGCGGCACGTCAGTCAACGTGAACGAGAACCGCGCGACAAACTCGGGCGCGCTGCAGTTGGACCGCGGCGCGTGGTACTCGGGGTACTCGCGCGGGCCCAGCGCAGGGCTGTTCTCGTACAACATCGGGTTGAAAGGCCGCAACTTGGCGACGACAGCGATTGGCTCGGCGCGAGACTTGATGGTCGGCTACGGCAACAAGGACACCGGCGTGCAGGTGCAGCGCGGCCAAACGAACCGCTTTACGGCGTACGAGGTCCGCACGCGGAACACGAACATCATTACGACGTACGACGCGCTAACGCGCACGCTCGGACAGCGCGTAGCGATCCGGAACTTTGGGTTGTCGGTACGCCGCGACTTCAACAAGCTCGTGGATTTTGGCGGCCGCGCGTACGGGTCGGAAGTGTACTTCAGCTACAAGAACCTGAACCTCGGGTTTGGAACAGACCTCGCGCTCGCGCGCTACTACCTGAACCTCGGCATCCTGGGCGTAAACTTTGCGGCGGCGCGGGACTTTAACGCTTACGGCACGACCATTCAGATAAACTGGGGCCGCGGCTGGGAGTTGTTTTTGGAGCACGACGACCCGCTGACGGAGCTCGGCGAGGCGCCGCGCGTACGCGGAACTGCGGTGGGATTTGGGCGGCCGACGCGGACTTTCGTGACAGTAGGCGCGGGCACGTCAGCGAACCGGACGCCGATGGCGGCGCTGACGCTGCACACGCCCGACTTGAAGCTGAGCATGGGGGCGGTGGAGAAGACGAACTTGCGAATCGACCAGTTCAGTCTGAGTACGGGCCGCTACACATTCACTTGGGAGAACACGCTCGTGCCGGACAGCATCGTGGTAGCGGGGGTGCAAGCGACTTCGGCAAACTAGTCGGAGTCGGAGTAGGCGGCAAGCAGCGCGCCTCGTGCGGCGCCGCGCGCAGCTACGGCTGACACTGCGGCACCGAAGCTCGCGGGCAACTTGCCAGCGCTGAGGTCCTGCGCGGCTGCGCTCGGCGCGCTGCACGCTGCGCCGCGCCTAGCGAGCGCGGCAGAGCCGGTTTTAGGCGACTCGCAGCCGCTGCACCAAGGCTGCGCGGCGAGTGCGTCGCGTTGCACAATGCCCGCTTCGCAAGTGGCGAAGTGTGAATCAACCGCGGCGGGCGGCGGCGTGGCGAAACGAGACTGCGGCAGTGCGAGCTGCTCTTTAGCGCTATGCAGCAAGAAGGTTTGCGTCGCTAACGGGAAACGGCTCAAGAAGTTGAGTGCGCCGCGGGGTGGAAAGTTAAGAGTGGGCGGCACGCCGCGCGCAGCGAAGAGCAGCACCAGCAGCGCGCCGCAGCGCTCGCGCTGCGCGAGCGAGAAGGCGCGAGCGTCGGCGGGCAGCGCGTCGAGTTCGGCGATCAGCTCCGACTCAGCGAGCTCGCGCAGTGCAGCGGGCAGCGCAGCGAGGCGCGGCGCGTACCAGGCGCGCACGGAGTCCATGATCGGCGCCGCGGCCGAATTAAAAAACGCTGACGGCGCCGGCGGACATAACGCGTAATTTATTTAGTGACTAAATAATTCTCCACCATGGCCATCGGGAAGAACCGCAGGATCAGCAAAGGCGGGAAAAAGGGGTCGAAGAAGAAGACCGTCGACACGTTCGCGCGCAAGGAGCACTATGTGGTGAAGGCGCCTTCATACTTCCACGTGAGCAACATCGCGAACACGATGGCGAGCCGCAGCCAGGGACTCAAGAAGTCGGAGGACAGCCTGCGCGGGCGCACGTTCGACATCAACCTCGCGGACTTGCAGAAGAACGAAGGACAGAGCCACCGCAAGATCAAGCTGATCTGCGAAGAGGTGCAGGGCCGCAACTGCTACACGGACTTCCACGGCCTCTCGGTCACGCGCGACTACTTGTGCGCGCAAATCCGACGCCACCACTCGTTGATTGAGGCGTACGTGGACGTGCAGACGGTAGACCGCTACCAGCTGCGCATGTTTTGCATTGCGTTCACGAAGTCGGTGCCGGGGCAGATGTGCGTGAACTGCTACGCGAAGACCTCGCAGCAGAAAGTGATCCGCAGCCGCATGGTGAAGTACATGCAGCAGGAGGCGAGCAAGTGCACGCTGAAGGAACTGGTGAAAAAGCTGATTCCGGAGGGCATCTCAAAGAAGATCGAGAAGCTCTGCAGCAGCGTGTACCCGGTGCACAACGTCTCGATTTACAAGGTAAAAGTAGTCAAGAAGCCGAAGCTCGACGTGGCGAAGCTGATGGAGCACCACTCCACGGCGGCGGTCGCTGGCGAGCTCAAGGAGGCGAAGAACCTATTGAGCGCAGACGTGGTAGCGGAGAGCTAATTGCGTAAATTAGATTTTCGATTTTCGACACGAATAGAATGCGCGTTTTCACGCTGGGTCTGCTGCAGTGCCCGCGACGCGAGTGCGAGGGCAACTTGTCGTGCGCGCCTCTCTCGGCCGCGGAACTCGCGGAAGTGCGCGCGGCGCGCGACGCGCCGGACTGGGACTGCGTGATGGCGGCCGAGTCGAGCGTCGAGGCGGCCGCGGTGCCCGCGTTCCTCGAGCGCCTGGCGCCATTCAGCGAACTCGAACGCGCGGTGAGCGCGCTAGAGCTCGAGTCCGTCCCGGCGCCGGATGCGGCGCGGCTCCAGTCGCCAGCGTACCTAGAGCAGCTGCGCGAGTTTTTGTTCTGCAACGACTTTGTCGAAGGCTATTTGAACTGCGAGCGCTGCAGCGCAAAGTTCCGCGTGAGCAACGGGATCCCAGACTTCATCGAGAACCTCGCGGAAACAGCGCCGGCTGCGGCGTGAGTGCGGCGGCGGCGCCGATCCGCGAAACGCTTGCGCGAGCGTTAAGACACAACGCCGCAATTTCGCGAAAAATAAACCAGCACACCACCAAGCATGGGCATCCAGAAAGAACCGAGTCCGCAATCTTGCAAGGGCAACCGCCGCTGCCGCCGCTGCGCGAACCGCACGGCAGTAATCCGCAAGTACGAGATCAACATGTGTCGCCAGTGTTTCCGCGAGAACGCGAAAATCATGGGCTTCGCGAAGTTTTAACGCGCGCAGCGCCGTAGCTACATGCGTAACTGCACAGATCTTTCTTGACCGCCCGCTCCGAGGCGTGGCGCGCCGCCGGCGTAGCCAGGGCCGAGGCTAGCGCACAAGTCCTGACCGTCGCGGTTGACGAGTTCGCAGACGCTCTCACCAGGGCCGAAGCACTTCAAGGCCCAGAAGTTCGAGGCGAGCCCCGACTCCGCGGGTCGCCCGGCAGCTCCGAAAAGCATCGCGCGCCGATAGCGAATCGCTCGCACCGTCGGGGACTTGAACACCGCGCAAATGCGTTGCTGCAGCGCGCGCTGCGCGGGCTCCAGCAGCGAAGCGCTGGGCGCGACGTTCGCGAGCTCGAGCAGCGTCAGAGCGGACGCGCCCGCCGGCAGCGGTGCAATCGACGGCGCGGGCGCCGCGCAGGCTGATTCTTCGATCTTCATCATTCAAAGCGCAGTTTCGATTTTATATAGGCAAAAAGAAATAGCGGCGTCCGAGCGCGGCGCGGCTACGCAGACTTCTTGCGGACCATGATGCCGCAGCGGCCGCAATGCTCACGGTCTTCGTGATGCGCCATCAGAACGCCCTTCGGGCACTTGCCGATGCAGCTCTTACGCAGACACTTGACCACGCCGTCCTCGACCGAGTAGTGCCTGAGAACGGACAACTTTACCTTCTCGCGTTTGTGCGGGGAGTGTTTGGGAGTCGTGAAGTTCTTCTTCTTCTTTTTGCCCTTCTTGCCGCCGACTGCGGCGACCGCGACGTCGACGCAAAGCGCGTCGGCGAGCGGCACGCGCGCGAAGTCCGCGCCGCCGCAAGTCAGCACCAAAGCCGACTCGGCGACGCTCTCGCGCGCAGCGATTTGGCTTCGCGCGTCCTCGTGGCTCGCGGCCTCCAGTATCTCCAGACTGCCCGAAGCGCTGGTGTACGATAGCAACATTACACTAAAATAATATAAATTCGTTGTGTCGCTCCGGCGAGCCGCGCCGCGCGCACCGCGCGGCGCGAACCGCGCCGCGCGCACCGTACCGCGCAGCCTCCCGCGCGCACGCACTCGCCGCCGCTGCCGCTTTCATGCAGTGCGCGTATTTGCGATTACGTAATTTTTCATTTTCGCGATGGACGTCGGACAGCTGTGTAAAGACCTCCAAAAACCTCCGGTCAACGGCTGGACCGCGAAACTCATCTGGAGCACTTTCTTTTCTGCGGGCGTCGGCTTCTTCCTCGGCATCGCGACCTCTTACATCATCACAATTTCACTCATCGAAATCACCGTCAACCGCTTCTTCGCAGTCTACTTCGGGCTGCTCTTCATTCTGATGGGCAGCGTGCTGCTCTGGCGCATCAACTGCATGGAGCTACACGACGCAGAAGCGTACCGTCGCAAGCGCTACTTCAACTCGCTCGCCGCGCTCGTAATCACCTCCGGCGTCGCGACGATGTTCCTGCGCTCGACGCTGATTGTCCGGCTCTGGTTCGGTTTCCGCATGCTGCTCTTCACGGCGCTCGGCATCTCGATCGGATTCACAATCATCTTCAGCGCGATTGACCTCATCAACGTCTGCTTCTCGCTCTTCACGCTGAGCTCTAGCCGTTGCCCGATTGACACCAACTCGCAACTCACGCTGATCATGATGGTCGTTGCATTCATGGGCTGCATCTTCGGCTTCCGCTTCGGAATGCTGCACGTGCGCAACCACCTCAGCTACAACGTGCGTATCAGCCTGATTAAGCAGGAGTCGATCAACTACCCGATCGCGGGGCTCATTGGCACGCTCGCGGGCTTCGCGAACGAATACCTCCGGCAGCAGGAAGAAGAGTACATCCAGCTGCGCCGCAAGGAGTACGACATCAACATTTAGCGCGCCGCACGCAGTCCACAAACAGTTTGTATGAGAGCACGTTAAACGCGCCCGATATAGTTAGATCCGCGACGCCCGAGGCCGCGTGCCGTTCGAGCTCAACACGCGGCCGCTCCAGCGCGGTTTCATCTGCGCACGCTAAGCGCGCCGCGTCGCGACCCGCGCGCGCAACATCCTCGGCGTCTACACAGCGCTCAGCGCAAAGCAAGTCTGCGTCGTCGTCGAGCAGCAGCGTGAGCTCGGAAGCAGCTTGCGACTTTGACGCGTCGATCGCCGCGCCGAGCCCGTGCAACATCGAGAACAGCGCGTCTTGGTCGTTGTCTTCCGCGGCCGCGCGCACGAACGCAAGCTGCCGACTGGGCCCCAGAGCTTCCGCCAACTTCGCAGCGCTCGCGTCAACCGAGCTCGTGCAAATTTCGAACACGGTTTCCGCCGCGGCGTCCGCGCCAGCACATTCCACGGCACATCGCGCACATCGCGACTTCCGCGGAAGTGCGCCCGCTTTGCACGCGGACTGCGGAGCGGCTGTCGGCTGCGTAGCAGCGTCTAGCACACACAAGAACGCTGTGTATTTTTTCTCGCGAAGGTCGATTTCTCGTTCGTACGGGAGGAGGTCGAGAGCGACGTCTTTGCCGAACGCGAGCGCATCCGCGCGCGCCTCGCCTGGCATCGGTCGCCACTCGGCCCAGCTGCACGCGTCTGTGCGCATACAGCCGTCAGCAGCGCTAGGCGCCACTGCCGCAGTGCAGCTGTCCTGCGGCAGCTCCACCAAGCCGCGGAGTCCGCGCAAAGCGTCTTCAGCAAGCACTTCGCGCGCAAGCCGAGAGTAGTACTCGGAAACCGCTTCCGGGCCTTCTGCTCGCGACGGCGCAAAGTCGTCAGCAGAAGTCGGCAGAGCTTCCGCCACGCCCGCCGACGCTTCGGCCGGCGGATCGCCAACGCTCAGTAGGACGACCTCAAGCTGCTGCTCCTCCAACGCTGCAACCAGCGCTGCAGCGTCGCACTGCAGGCAGACAACGCATTGGCGACGCGCTCCGAGCGACTCACTCTCTTTCTGCAGCTCACGCACGAGACTGCTAACCAGATCATCCAGCAGCGAAAAGCAGCGGACGTTCAGGTCGCGCGCCGCTCTATCTGCTGCGAAACAGCGTTCTGTTGACGCGTTTCCGCAAAGTGCACGCAGCATTCTCAGCTTGGCTATCAGTAGGTTCGCGCTGCCGTGAAACAGCCACAGGTCGAGCGATGGGACGTCAGTCGCAGAACCTTCGCTCGCGGCGTTGAACATATTAAGAAGTTGCGCAACGTCTACGAGCAAGGGGGCGCTCAACACTATCGCGCCGCGCTGCGCCGTCAACTGGCGGCGCGCCTGTGCCACCGCTGCGAGAACACCGCGGTCATCCAGAGGTGCAGCTCGGTCAGCCAATTCGCACGCGAACCTCCCCACAACGTCGACGTCCTGCAACGCTTCCAGCTCGTAGACGGCGGGTCCTTGCGAAAGCGGGTCTGCTATCGGCTCAGAGCGGTTTGGAGTGCAGAGCTCGCCCAGCAGAATGCCTGCTCGCACTTCGCAGGTGAGCGGTAGGTGTGCGCGGTCGACGGCCAGCGGGACCACGAGAAAGACGTACTCGAGCGGCGCGCAAGCGCGTCGCAGCGCGGTGAACTCGACGGCTGTGCTCGGGTCGCCGCAAAAGGAGAGCACAAACGGCTCGGACGAAGCGAGCGCGCGCGTCGTGGAGCGCTCCAGACAAAGCACCTCGCAGACGACTCGGTCGGTGAACGGCGAGAAAGAGAGCGTCGCAGTGAACAAGCCCGCGCGCTGCGCGAGCTGCAGCTGCTCGAAGTGAAACTCGCGCACGGCCGCGTCGAGCGCGCAATTCTCGGCACGGGTGCCGAGCGCGGCGCGGTAGCACTGGTAGAGCTCATGGCTCGCAAGCCCGAACACCGTCACGGTGTCCCTGCGAAAGTCAGTGCAGTCGAGATCTGGTACCAAATCCGACACGAGCGCGGACTTCGCGCGCGCGTCAGCCGCTAGCCGCGAGCGCGCGGCGACGCGCACCGCTTCCCGCAACACCTGGCGCGACACGTCGCCAAGGCGCGGCGCGCAGTCGGACAGCAGTGCGGCGAGCGCCGCGCGCCGCAGCGGCGGCTCTAGCAACACGTGGCGCAAGCACAGAAAGCGTAAGATCGAAGCTCGGACAGCCGTTACGAGCACCGCCGCGACGCGGAGTTCAGCGAGCATGCCGCGCACGAGCTGCGCGCAAGCGTGGACCGCGGCCCGCGCTGCGGCCGGCGCGTCGACGCGTGGCAAGAACTCGGGGTTGACGAGGACCGAAAACCAAGGCCGCGCGTCGCCTACATCGGCAAACGTAATCACGTAACCATGGAAAAATTCGCTACAAGAGGCAGGCTCGACGTATTCGGCGAGGGT